ACAGACAGACAGACACACAGACACACACGAGGTCGTTTGCATTAGCCCGCTGGATAGCTTTTTCAAAGCAGAAGGGCGGGCTAAAAAGACTTATTCGCCTACAAATGACTTATTAAAAACTTTGATGTGTCAAAATTCCGAAGCGCCATCTAGTGTTCGAGTGGTTAACTCATCTCAGTCCGCAAATGTGCACAAGTGTCCGTGGGTATATTATGACGGTATGCAACAGCTCGGTACGTAAAATTACTTACGAGTTGATGGACAACTCGTGGACATGTCGGCGGACATGGCACACTCTTAGTTCCTTACAAACAGCAGTGTTCGTATTACGAAGAATTTGTTTGTAACTTACAAAGGATCTAAAGCAGACTTATTACGAACGATTTTCCTTCATATTACGAACACCCCCCCCATTCGTAATACGTAAAGCCTCGTTTGTAACACAAACCAGGCTCTTCGTAATACAAACAATTTGTTTGTAATACAAATGCTCCCAATCATTTGTACATTACGAAGAGCAGTTGTTCGTAAGGAACTTACAGTGCACGAACGTCAATGTGTCAATGCACGATGTGCAAGGCAATGGACATGTTGATGGACAACTAGCGGACAGTCTTACGGACCAGTCCTGTGGAACGCTCCGTAGACATTTGGTGGTCATAGGTAACGGACAGATCTATGGACAGACGAGCCGTGGTGGACAGCTGCGGACACATGCCATGGACGCTTCAAACGACGGACTGCAGTTATGAATGCAGACTGAACCGAGGACAGGTCATGGACTGGTCCTCGGACAGACTGATGGACACAATAGACACGGTGGACAGTTGGGGACTGCACAAGGACAGCGACGGACAAATGCGGACCATTCAACGGACTGTCCATCGGCTCATCAGGGAAGGTGTTCATTTTTCAGTTATAAATGGACATCCTAACCTTAATTGGTCAAACATGTTGATTTTGTTGTAAAGTATATGTGTGTTCCGAATCTAGTGTTTTTCAGTGAATACTCATGTGAAGGTTGAACGATGGAGAAGGATAAAAACAACCACTTGTTTACGCTGGGCTGGCCAAACACGGAGTGACCGAGTGGCGAGAGAGTTTATTGATTGTCCACAGGATGGCGCTGGTGTCGCAGACAAGTGAATGTAGAAGTCAGTCTATTGGGTGGTGAATGTACATGGCGGAGATATTTGAATATATACATAGATAGAGATGGAAGCATTAATTATTTACAACAGATTTTCTATGAAATGCATAATACACGCGTAACATCACTTCAAACTATCATAAAAAATTCAAGAACCCGCTACTTGGAAGGAAAGGCCATGATTTTCAGTGCAATAACGCGCCTAAAGCGACTTTTCTGTAAAGGCGGTTAGGGGAACGTTGTAGAAGGCCTCGTGGGGCGCGCGCGGCAGCAGGTGGCCGAATCAGGGAGGCGGCGCGGTTTCCACCTGTCTTACCAGTTGCGGAGAAAACTGAAATAATATTGGGCGCGGTGGTGTCCAGCGGGCGCCTCGTTGCCTCTCCATTAAGCCCTTCTCTAAAGGAGGAAAATGATGAGGGTGCCGCACTGCGCCGCAGCGCAGGCAGCCGCCGCCGCCCCGGTTCTTTAGCAGGGCAGCAGGAGCCTGCGAAGAGGGGGCGGGGTCGCCCCAAAGGAAGCGGAAACAAAGTCAAGAAGACTAGGGTGAAGTGCGGCCTGTTCCGCGAAATGGTCGCCGATCACATGTCTAAGCCTTGCAACCATTATATTTGCCATACATGCCTAGTAGACTGGAAATGCAGATGGTCGCACTGCTCCACTTGCATGATACCTTAAGTTGAGTACCAACCCTGCCGTTTTAGCTAGATTGTTTTAGAAGTTTTTATTATTGGGCCTTTTTGCTATTGTGTATACTAATTCTTTACTGACCACTCACCACTCTAATTAAGTGTGTCACGTTTTACTTCAACAAGTTGAAGAGTAGGTTTACTGTTACTTTACTGTTATTTTGTGGTGGCATATCATTAATAAAACGTGTACACTTCCATTAAAAAAACACAACAACATTTATTTTGTTGTTCGAACACATTAGAAGTCATTCAGAGTATGCCTTGAAGTATATTTAACTTCTTCTAGGTCTGGTCTAACATGTCTTTTCATACGTGTGTTATTGGATTCATAAGCTAACATCAGTAACTTAGAAGGGATTTGGCATAACTTGCATGGATTCAACAAACTGCGGCACACACAGCCAAAGATGTTCAGCCTTCAGCGTATGAAAAGAATGCTTCGTTTGTTGAGTTTTGATTACGAAGTAGATAGCAAAGGTTCTGGCAAAAAAATAGTTAGAAGCGAGCCGTCACTCAAACGGCCCGAAGGCTTGCTTCCCGATAGAAGATGTATTCACCGTGAAAATTCTGAGGTCCCACACGCCGCCGGCAGACCAAGCTAGGCACGCTCCCTGCCGTACTGAGTTGCCGGTAGAGCGAAGCGGAGCTGGCAACTTTGTTTAGCGGAAGAGCGGGCCTAGCTTGTTATGGTACAAAACGACCCTGAAAATCCCAGGTCGCTCGCTCAATTCGTTCTCGAGTTATCGTGCGGACAGACAGACAGAAAAAGTTCTTTCCGACCAGACGGAGTAATAGGCTTCGCTGATCGCTCAGCCAACAAAGCGACTTACAGGTCCTATTATTTGATGGCCAGCTGAGCTAACGTCAAATTTATGGACAATCTAACCTTCAACAGGGGCACACTTTTCATTCCACCGGTAATGGCCGTTTTAACTGTATTTCACAAAAAGATGACCTTTCGATAAGGCACATAAAGAGTCGCAGCACCCAGGTCTCTAACATTATTTCATACTTATTTGATGTACTTCGCCAGTGGTTGCCACTCTGACTGACTGAACAAATCACACCACTTGGTCGTTATGTTCCCGGTCAGCGTATATTGCCTGCTGCTATCGGCCTTACTGAAGGCTGCGTTAGCTCAGCGGATAAACAGCTTAGCGGTGAGATACACATGTTGATATATGCTTTAAAAACAATCATCTCTTGCCTTTGGACACTGTTGCCTTCGAATTAATTTTGAAATCATTATGATTTACGATGCATGCTCTGAAATGTTTTGGTCCATTTCAAGTTAGGCCATCTTCCTTTGGAAACCCAAGTCACAGAATAATTACGTACGACCTTAAATACTAGCTTTTACCTAGAAAGCCTTGCCCCAGCCTCTTTGTTAGCCCCGTGTCCCGTCATAAGAGCCCTGTAGCGAGCGAGCGTCGATGCTTGTCTGGAAAAAGTGGTGTGAGCTGGAGTAGGTAAAGGTTCTGCAAAGTCTCTCGAGCTGGGAGTATCGACGGTCTACCGGCTGCACGCCGCACAAGGCGGCGCCGGGAGTGAGCCGAGCTCTCGCGTCTCTCTCGCACTCGCTAGCATAGGTTACGTCTGTCTCTGTCGCTCAAAGGAGCGTCGCACCGCTCACCAGGAGACGACTTGAGCCGAGCACCTCCGGAGAGGTGGCACGGCGTGCAGCGAGCATCGACGCCCGCTCGCTACAAGGCTCTGCCCGTCATCCGTCATGTTAATAAAAATTAATGGAAACGCTAACCAGCTCCTACTCAAACTAAACGAAGTCTTCCTGGCTAGCGGACCCTTTGAAAAAATGAGTGTTTGTCTAAATATTTGCAGGGTCCCTACCGACTGGTCGTTGGACATTTGGACGAATGTCCTCCGCAAATGCAGCCATTGGACGTCTATCATGTTGTGACGTACACCGGCATCCGTGATCGCGTTAACAAAGACGTATGGTGGTACTCGGCCAACCTCACATCCTTTGTAACGGCGGACGATAATTACACGGTACAACAATGCACTGTAATTCGAAGTGTGATACTTTTCACACATTTTTAGCCCGCTCTTTTGCTAAAAGCGGGCTTATGCCATCGCCCTTGTGTCTGTCTGTCCGTCTGTCCGTCTATCCGTTCCCCAAGAAGGACGTGAGCTAGAGGTCTGAAATTTTCAGGGTATTATTGTTGTCACTTTTGGACAACGAAACGTTGGTGCAAATGCAAAAAACAAAAACAAAAAAAAACACATTCATTTCGTTGTTCGGACTCGTTCGGGGTCATTGTGGGTATGCCTGGAAGTATATTTAACTTCTTCTGGGTCTACTCTCATACACCTTTTCATAGGTGTGTTATTGGACCCATAAGCTATCATCAATAACTTAGAAGGGATTTGCCATAGCTTGCATGTAGTATACAAACTGCGGCACACACAGCCAAAGATGTTCAGCGTATGAAAAGAATGCTTCGTTTGTTGAGTTTTGATTACGAAGTGGACAGCAAAGGTACCTGGCAAATGGATGGTTCAAAGCGAGCCATCACTCAAACAGGCCGAAGGCCCGTTTTCCGATAGAAGATATTTTACACCATGAAAAATCAAACGCCGCCGGCAGGCCAAGCTAGGCTCGCTCCCTGCCGAACCGAGTTGCCGGTGGACCCAAGCGGGGCTGGCAGCTTGGTTTAGCGGAGGCGCGGGCCTAGCTTGTTGTTAAAAGGCACTTTACATATGCGTAAAGACGTGAAATTACACACTTCCTTACAACCACATGAAAAGTGGGGGAGGGGTTTGAGGACGGCTCCTTAAATGAAACCAAGCAGGCCCACCCTTCCGCCAAACAATGTTGCCAACATAGATCATTCCACTCGTACCTCTCGGAAGTACCGTCTTCACATCGGTCTCACGGCCGTTCTCGTCACCGCAGGGACCCAAGACTCTGCGGCCTCCGAGGTGAAGGTTGGGCCGAGGTGGGGCGCTTTGGATTGGGTCACTACCCACCCAACCTTAGTTCGGCGACAGGGCAGGTCGAAGTTGGGGGTAGCTTTTGAACGATTTGCCAGTTTATGGAGTCTGTAAGCGGAGCGGTTGGTTGGTCTGACCCACACGAAACTTTGGGGCAGCTTTCTTTACTTCACCGACCAAATTACGCGAAATTACGCCAGTGAATTGAATTCCAAGAAATAAGGAATTTTCAGCTGGGTCATATGGGCGGTTTGTTTATCACTTTCAGTAGTTTATGGGGGACTGTAAAACAAGTCGAGGGTAATTACTCTCGAAGGGGACACAACCCTCGTTTACCTCACCAGGGTAAACTTACGTATTCAAAATTTATTGAAATCGTATTCAAAAAAGTTTCGTCCGGTCCTGTATAAATCTTTGTAAGAACGTGGGTTAGTTATCTACCCTTTAACAGTCTATGTACGCACATCTATTTAGAAGACGTCTATTAGGAGTCTGAAGGAATGCCTCGGGTAAACCTACCTAACATGGATCAGTTACCAATTATGGATCAATTCTGTTTGGCCGGTTCCAACTTCTGTTTGGGTCGACCGCCTTAAAAATTTGAAAGTTCCTCAGGTAGACAACTAAACATGCAACGAAATTTGTCTGGGACAATTTATTGTGTGGTCGCTACCCTGCCCGCTGGCGCTCGCCGAAAAGCAGTCTGCACAACAGACCTCGTCAAAGCGCGCTAAAAGACCAGGTGACACACATGGCTCTACTTATTTCCTATTTGTAAGAAAACTTACCGTTGGAATTACTTGGCACTCGATGAAAAGACGTTTTAAGATATGGCCTTTAAAAGACTCTGAAGATTTTGATCCTTTACCGCGAGTATTTTAAAAATGCGGGTAGGGGTAACAAGCAGGCCCGCCCTTCCGCCAAACAACGAAGTTGCCAGCTCCGCTTTGCTCTGCCGGCAACTCCGTTCGGCAGGGGCCGGGCCTGCTTGGCCTACCGGCGGCGATGGTCGGGCCTGCGGCCCCGACCATTTCTGTCACGCGATTTGCTGAAGAACATGATCGAATGATGTAGCGGGCCTTCGCCTTCGGCCCTCTTAAACCTGTCGTCTTTGAGTTAGCCCCGAAGACTCGAGGAAGGGATGTAACGGTGAAGCACCGCGACTACAAATCACCCTTCAGCTTAGAAAACGTTTTTTGGGGGAAGGGGGAGAGTTTCCTTTCTATTTGGCGATTTTTAGGAGTTTTTAGCCCGCTCTTCTGCTTTTAAAAAATAATTAAGGGGGCTTTTATCTCCCAAATTGCATTTTTGGTACATTTGTCAATAAAATTAGTTTCTGAGCCACTGTAGGTGTAGGGATGGAACCTGAGGGTATATTTCTCAACAAAAGGTATAAATTAACACATTAACAATATCAGAATGCCATGAACTTTACTTAAAAGAGATCCCAAGGGTGTACTTCTATTTTTATAGGATATCTTCTTTTGAAGTTTACGCGCAGAATTTCTCCGGAGAAAGTAGTGATAAAAAAGTGATCATAATAGCTTGTTTGTTTCAGTTCATCAAGGACTACAAATTGACACAACGGTTTTACTGAATTTTGAAAAATGAAAATTATCCTCTATTTGTAGTCCTAAAAAAAATATTTTCTAAATATAACTTATCATGTATAATTTTTATTTTTCAAAATTCAGTAAAACCCCTGTGTCAATTTGTATTCCTTGATGGACCTAAACAAACAAGCTATTGACCAGTTTTTTATCACTACTTTCTCCGGAGAAATTCTGCGCGAAAACTTCAAAAGAAGATATCCTATAAAAATAGAAGTAGGCCTACACCCTTGGGACCTCTTTAAAGTAAAGTTCATGGCATTCTGATATTGTTAATGTGTCAAGCTATACCTTGTGTTGAGAAATATACCCTCAGGTTCCATCCCTACACCTACAGTGGCTCAGAAACTAATTTTATTGACAAATGTACCAAAAATGCATTTCGATACATCAGAGCGAAAACCGCTCAGTCTGCCGGAGCGCTACGACAACCGCTTAGTCTGCCGAGCGGTTTGGACAACCGCTCATTCCGTGAAGGCGCTTCGACAACCGCTCAGTCAGCCGACCCACCTCAACAACCGCTCAAATGACTTTTTTGACATTTTTCATTTTTTGACCGATTTCGACTAATTGGACCATGCTCTATTCGATAGTGCAATCCAAATTATTCGTCAAAAAAGTCATTTTGAGCAGTTGTTGAGGCGGGTCGACTGACTGAGCGGTTGTCGGAGCAGCTCCGCGGAATGAGCGGTTGTCCGAACCGCTCGGCAGACTAAGCGGTTGTCGTAGCGCTTCGGTAGACTGAGCGGTTTTCGCTCTGAGGTATCGATTTTGGGAGATAAAAGCCCCCTTAAAACGGGCTTATGCAACCGCTCTCGTGTCCGTCCGTCCATCCGTCGTCCGTGTAAGAGGAAGGAGATGCTAGGGGTCTAAAAATGTCAGGGTACCTTAGGGGTCACTCCTGGACAACGAAACGCCTGGTGCAAATCCTGGCAACCATCCCTAAGGGGGTGAAAGGGGGTAACAAAGAAGTCGGGGTTGGTCCAAAAAGTAGAAAAAAAATATTTTTTTTATGGGATTCTAAGGGGTAACTCGTAAAAGTAGAGCACACTTGGCGAAAATTTTGTCCGTTTGACTCTATCTTGCACCGTTTGGGTGCTATAGGGTGCATTTTTCGACGAAAATACGGCGAAAATGACCACGTTGCACGTAAAGACGTACAAGGAGGCGTCCAATCGTAAAATGTCAGAGGCAGTACCCCCCC